TTTCTAGGGCCATTTCACGAGTGTGTTGCCTTGGTTTAGACTCAACAAGCGTCTTCAGAGCATCAATATAAATTCCAATATGTCAGCCCCTGCCATCAAAGTTTTTAAAACTAAAATCACCTGAACAACATTTGCTGAACCATCATTGACACTTACAAATGTTCAAAACATTTCCATAAACTTCTTTGATATTCTTTGGGGCAACAGAGACATTGTTTCCCTTCTTGTATTCAAACATCATTACATGCCGAATGTGTGTCTCGTCGTATGCCATCACTATAAGGGATTAAAGTATACTAAACTTTATACATTATATAGGCTACACTAACCTGACGTTTAGGTGGTTCGTTTAACTCTTATACGTGATGTACTTTTTTTGGGTGGTGGTTAATGAAAGTGCTACAAAACATGACGAACTACTACTACTTCAAATTTGGTTGTTCTTGGGCTTCTGTTGTAATTAATGATAGTGTAAGGAAAATAATTTTATCTGACTGAATTTATGTCATTGAAGTTCAGTTGTATAAAGAAATGTCTGAAGCAATTATTTTTATTTCAAATGGAAATTAATAACTAAAACGTAAATATTTTTAATATCCTCTTCGCGTGACTTTCATAAACTTGAAGTAAAAATATGTCAAACAAGAAAAAAGTTATATTTAAAATTTACATGAAGTTATCTGTGTGAAGCAACACGACTTAATTTGACAGCAGCTGTAAATGTCTTACAAATATGTTAATTAATTATATCAAAGTACTTAAAGTGAATTTTTTTTATCAATATCTTTATATAAGCTTGTATTTACTTGTTCATTTACAGACCTACGCCAAAGAAAAGCCAGGGAGAGTGATAGTTCTTTTCTTCAGATGAAATACAACCTGTAAATAATTTGCATTTTTAATCAATTCCTGCAGCAAAAGACAACATTTTGTTAATTTTTTTTTTTACTTCTCTCATGTTTATGTCTTGAGGAACTGTTTCCATGTGCAGGAAATAAAATTTTATGACATAGCTCAACTGTTTACTTCCTCTATTATTTGATGTGAAAACAAACTTGAGGAAATGAGATTATATACCAGCATACAGACTGATTCTTGTTTCACTTATAATCTTTAGAAACATGTGACATTTTATTGCCAACAGTCTTAATATGCTATGGTGATATAGCATTTGGCAGCAGTTTCTAGAGATGAGCAAATATAAACAACTGAAAAAATCTAATGGTCATGGATTAATGTGGGCTGTTCTACACAATATGTCTATATGTAACTGTGTATTGATAACACTCTTCTGATATATATAAAACAGTTTATATAGAAACCAATTAGGTCAGTTCTACACAGACAGGTCCCTGTTAGCCAAAGGAACTAATTAAACTACTATCTTTATACAGTACATACAAGTAAGGAAATTTTACTGTTTGCAAGTCACCATCTTTTATTTCAAGGTGTTTTTTACCTGATTTTCACAGTGCAACAAATGTATTAATTTCCTTTTTTTTCTGTGTGTTTCAAAAACTACTCAAATATATGGCATTTCTCTTCTCACTTACAAGAACATTTTTGTTGCTGTCAGTACAGTAATCATGAAGAAGTTAGTCAGTTGATTTTTCCAGTGTTTTTAATAATAAAATATCTAACACATCTAACTGAGGTACTGTTTTAGTCCCTAAATAATTTCAGTCTTCAGGTGTTAACTAGAAGTAAATAGTTTTTTGTTAACAAGCAACCTCTGCACAAGTTGAAATGTGTGTAAATTACTGGTATTAGTTTGGATGGTTTCCAAATTAAGATGAGGAACATGAAATAGAAACCTTCTTATCAAGTCTGTCGTCAGCTCGTATGAAACCACACCTAAGTTCTAAGAAGTTTAATTTTGTAAATATGGTAAAAAAAAAATGCCAACAGCGATTACGTCTAAGTAGAGATATGTAAAACATCTTAACGTTGGGAGAATGAGATTCATTACGAAAGAAATAAAAGGTAACTGAATTATTTTTGGATAAATTACAAAAAAAAAATATAGTGGTGTAAATAGAAAATTCTCACGTACTGGATATTTACTGAAAGTTTTCCAACTATTTATCCGATTTATAGAAAAAAGGATTCATGCGAGATCTATTAACAGTATTACGTTGGTAAAAAAAAAATGAATAATAAGAATAATAAATAATGTTTAAATATTAGTTCACTAAATCATATGTTGTAATTAATTTCCTAAAATTGAACAATTCAATTGTTGTTTGATTTATTGATAAACTTATTAACTCTCAACACACTGTGCTCTGAAACTTCTTGAAATAAAAGTTAAAAGTCTGTTCAAGATTTTGCAAATAGAGGTTTTTGTGAGTCTTTTTTTTTTATTTTTCTATCGTCATTTCAATAACATTTCAACTGTTGTACTTTTAAGATCAATCTTTGTGATACGAAATGCTTAATAGCAAACGATATAGTAATAGAAAGAAAACATTAAGTATTACGATATCATTCATTGGATATTTGTTGAATGAAACGTCAAAAGCTGACTAATTTACTTTAGTAATCTGTCTTCTCTGTAAACCCTCACAATTATATCTGGAAGTGATGGAAGGTAAAAAAAGGCTAATTAAACACTTAACGTAATAAATCTTATTTCGGAAAACTGATCTCAGATGGTTGATTTCAATAACTATAAGTTATAAGGTAAAAAAAAAAATCCGGTGGATTATCTTAATATTAGCGCGAAGTTTATTGTACATTTTATTTGATAGAAAGCATTATGCTATTTTTTATTGTTAGATGTACATATTAAAGACAAAAGCTAAACGTTTATTTCTGAAACGATTTGAATTTGTTCTAAAATGAAAGTGTCCGTTATTCGATTATTTGTTTCCTTGAATCGTTTCCAGGTGGCGCAAATGTGTACACAACGTGCAGGTACTAGTAATTTCGTAGGGGACCCCAGCATTTTCGTCAGATAGCTTTATCGATTGATCTTGTCTGGTGATATCTGGGAGACCGTCTGGTTGGAACTGTGTTAGCTGGGGAGATAGGGCGTAGCCTATTTCTTTCCTTCTGTTTTTATTTTTGAATAATCGATTGTTAAAAAAATTATTGTTTTTATTTTAATATTCAAAATGATCATTTCGTTCATTTAAAATTCATCGCGAGGAATAATTATTAAAACATCCCAACATTAAACATGTATGTATTTGAACTACTAGGGGAGAAACTGTAATACGAGCAAAAGGCAGCGTATTTATGTACAATGATGACAGAAAATATGTAGATCATGCGTTTCCAAGGCGCGAACGAACACGTTTCTTTGAATAAGTAATACAAGATAAACAAAACATTTATCGAAATAGCAATTTGATAATGTAGAAGCTTTTGGAAAATTTTCGTGATACAATAGTTAACCCTCCATTTTTAAATAGCAATTCGGTTTAATCGTTCATTCTACATATCTAAGTGATAACGCATTTTATATGTTATAATATTTATACAAACAAACGAAAATACAGTTTTACTATATATATGTTGTGACGTTCTCTGTTTGATTTATGTAAATTCTGGTCTCGTGTATTAAAATCAATTATATATACTTAAATGTAAAAGAAATATAACAAGAGTTCTTAACCCTAAAAAATCCCTTATTTATTAACTGTTTTATACGATAACTTTTTATAAATAATGTAAAAAAAAACATGCTGACGATACCATGAATATTTCGGCTTATAAATATTTGACAATACCATTAGTGTGGACTTTGTTGATGTATTGTGTAATATAAGGCTGTTTTATATATATATATATATGTGTGTGTGTGTGTGTGTGTATTTCTGCCTCGTATTGTGAAGTATTACCTTTGTTACTCGACAACATTTATTGTTAGAAGTTGAGCACAATTAGTTATCTGTGCACCGCGGGTATCGAAACCCGGTTTCTAGCGTTTTAAATCTGCAAACATGCCGCTGTGCCACCGTGTATTGTCTCTCATGGTCTGTTTATTTAATTATACGCTACTCGTTTGTAATCATTGTTTTCTGATAGTCTACGGTATATACAAGTTGTCATTTATTTATAATTAAGTAACGCCATTTCCGTTGTAACTATATTTGATGAAAGATTGTAAGAGAAAACAACAACAACAACGTCCAGCTTTTATTTCTTCAAATTATGAACTTGCATTATATCGTACAGAAATACAATAGTATGTATTCCAAGTATCGGTATTTCGGAGTATTGTTTTCCGTCGTAAAAAAAATAATACACTTTCAATTATTATTATTATTATTGTGCATATCGGTACATGAAGTCTTTAATTCTTTAAGTTTTTTTTTTCTGAAAGCTTCTGATAAAAGTAAGTGTAACGAAAAAATTACATTGCTCTGCTAATGACAAATTATGTAACTTTCGCGTTAAGAAATGCTTCTTAATTGTAGTTAAAATACCATTTCCATGAACAACCCCATCTAGGCAGTGATACCGCCTGCCTGATACAGTAATTGCTAAGAACGACAACCATTCTCATTTAAAAGCGATTAAATAATTTTCTTATCAGTATTGACCAATGTTAAATAAAGTAACAAATTATATAACCTTTTCCATTATAGGCGATATGTTTGTTATTAAGCAAAAAGGGCCATCCGTGCTCTTCCTTACACGTGTATCGAAATCCGGTTTCTAGCGTTGTAAGTCCGCAGGCATACCATTGTGGGGCGTAATTTAAATAAGCCCTCAACTTTCCTGTAAAGCCCATTTCGAGTTTTGAAAATATCGACTGCTAATTTTATGCTTATAATATACAATAATCAAAATTCAACCTTCTAATTAAAACTTCACTGCCACATTTGTCATGCTATATTCTATAATTTTATTTTAACACAGAAGACTATATTAATTAGCGATTGCTTTTTTTCACAAAATTCTTAATATTGTCAGAGATGGCTTATTACATTTTTTTTTACTTTACTGATATCACGCTACCTAGTTTACTTGCGCTGTGAAATATAATAACAAAAAATCTAGTCTTTAAACTTGCATGACGCTGACGTGAGAAAATGTAACCTTTTTCAAAGCTTTACCGCATTATGTTTTGTAGAATGAATTCTCAGATTATATATTAAAGAAAAACGGGTGCTTGAAAGAAGAACCTGCAAAACCAACTTCACAGAAACAGATTAAGTTATGAAATGTTCCAGGCTTGAAATTACTTTACAGACTTCAATTATGACTTAGTTTTTTTTCTTTTAGTTTTTTTTAAGAGTTTAACGTTTTGTATTAATCATTTTGTGTGTCAATTAAAATTGTGAGGTTCACTTAAAGTAAGAAACTAGTTCATAATTTAGTTTAATTTAATGACGAGCAAAACAATTTTACCACAGATCTGAACAGGATTCATTGGATATATATGTTACGCAAGGAAATTAAACAATGATTTCATGTATATTTTATATAATCATTGGTCCAAAAGTGTTACGCCGGACTGTGGATCGTGGTTCGCGCTTCGCATTTTAGGCCTGTGACTGCGTTATTTAGAAATAACAGACAAATCCCACTATTCTATTAAAGTAGCCAGGCCTGGTGGTTAGGGCGCTAGACTCGCAGTCTGAAGGTTGTGGGATCGAATCCCCGTCACACCAAACATGCTCGTCCTTTTAGCCGTGGGGGCATTATAACGTGACGGTCAATCCCACTATTCGTTGGTAAAAGAGTAGCCCAAGAGTTGGCGGTGGGTGGTGATGACTAACTGCCTTCCCTCTAGTCTTACACTAGTAAATTAGGGACGGCTAGCGCATATAGCCCTCGTGTAGCTTTGCGCGAAATTCAAAACAAACATTTAAAGTAGCCGCGGTTAGTGGTGTAAACTAACTAAAACCCCTCTAGTCTATCACTTTAAAATTAAAGACAGTTAGAGCAAATAGCCCTCTAGTGGTTTTGGGCAAAATTCCCCAAATATCAGCCTCCAAAAAGTGTCACAAGGGTTCTTCATCAACCAGGCAGTAATTGTTTATGTTTAGTAGAACACACAAAGAG